CCTTGCGGCAACCACTTCACGACTTCAGACAACGACGTCTTCGTCAAACCCGATTTAAACTGTACTTCAACTCTTTCTTGAGGAGACCGGATACACGGAAGTCTTTTAAGGTGACTGCTTCACGATGTACGGAGCGTAAAATGTCCTGGGGAGTTGTCTAGATGAAACACGATGACGCATGGCAATTTCGTGCAGATATTTCGGGAGGTATAGTCGTAGACGTGTGCGTTCATGGTAATGTTCGCTGTAAAAAAGAACGCTAAACGAGCATCGATTTCGGATCTGACGCCCACAGAGAGACCGCGGTGATGCAGCATCCGAAGGAGTTCTTTGTAGAGGTTATCCAGTGGCTGGTCCGTCTCTGTAATTCCTGCTTCACTGCCCATGGGGATTAATTTTAATGATATCTGTCCCGTCGCTCAGAACAATCCACAAACTGGCTTTATTTAAACAATCGTCATATGATAATAGTGGAATAATGTGCCAGAAATTCTGTGGTATTCGGGATATGTGACGTCACTGAGCTAATCATTGACATAGGGGAGAGAATTTGATGTAGAACAAATTATCTCTGATTTGTTGTAGATAATTCCAGGGTAAGTTTTATCACGGTGTGTTGGTATTCTCTTGTAAATCGTCATCTTGTCTTTGGTTTAGAGGTTTAATTAAATATAAACTATGTAGTCTGTACTGTACGTCCGGGATTTGAATTTTTGCCTTGGGGGTTACAACAGCGAAGTTTTATACATGTGTTAAGATGATGACGAAGATATAATATCGCAGCATCAAACTTTGATTCTCCGTGCAATTTTTCACCACCAGAAAATTTTAGGGATTTAAAAGTTTACGTAAAGAACATAAGTTTCTCTGTAGGCCGCGTAACGTATCCTAATAGTTAGAAGTTACAGACTCCGCCACCAACTTAACCATGGTACTCTATCGATAGGCTTTATAAATACATTATCGGTAAAGGGTGGAAGGAGGGTTAAAGCTTAGAACCACTCTATTGTGCCCGCATTCATTACGGGCTTAAAGTGTGCCATAGTCGCATTTATTGGCGAAAGGAGTCAGAATACTTCGATGATTCTGACTCGTCATGCTCATTCACTGTCCTACAAACTACAAAAACGAAATAATTCCACTAAATAAATCGCTTACATTTTATTATATACAAATTTTTTTGTAAAATGATAATAATGAGATGATTGCACTTAAGATATTACATTTGAGTTTATATGGATTATACACCTGAAGATGGTTCATTTAGAACCGAAACATGTAGTGTAAAAGATGATGCTCTATTGTAAATCGAACATTTCGATAGAGAGCATCATTTTAATATATTTTAATGTATTTTAAATATTTAAATGTTAATTGTAATAATATTTTAATATTTAATAATAATATTTTATTGTGTTTAGACTGATAAAAATTGAACAAGTGAATTATAATAATGTCAATGCTAAAAGTATTATAAATAAGTACATTTATTTTGTCCGGTGATTATAAACGATAGTACATTGAACATCGAAATAAGAATTGTAGTTTTTTTTTTTGTACATATTAGTCAAGTTCTGTCAATACAGAATTATCTGCTACTTGAAGGCTACAAAGGTATTTGAAAAAGGATTTACAAACTGTAAGTAAAATGAAAAGCAACACAAGGTTTATGTTTCTTAGAAGCTGTGTAAGAGTGAATCAGGTTCATTAATATCTGTTTTCTCAAACCATGAATCTTTTTTATTCTGAAGATCGCTGTCTTCTTGGTTGTTGGGCCGTCTATTTTGGCAGGAATTTACTGACGTTTCAGAGGCAGCAGGTATCTCTGAAACGTCTGAAAACTTCTACAAGACCACACGTCACAATATAACTGAGAAGACAGCCTTTTTTTCATACTGGCCGCCATGAAAACGTGAAACCTCCCAGTTTTAATCTATTTAACCTCCACAGGATTCGTGAAAAATTAAATTCTTTGACGTAATAAATTAAGATCT